TCGTCATATAACACGTGCATCTATTTTGCCATGTATCTGTCTTTGTTTGTTGACTTTTCGTTTCCCTTTACGCGCTCACTAGTTCCTGCTTCCTGATACTGCTCTATGTACTTGCCAAATGCTTGATCTCTTCTGATGCTTTACTACCTGCCTGGATTTTCTCTTCCGGGGAGGTCATCTTTCCCCACGTGGATTTCAGTGGTGGTCTTGATGTCTGGTGCTTGGGTTGATGCTTATCCCTTGGAACGGCTTCACTTTTCTGTGCTATCTAGATACTTAGGTGTCTAGTCTTTTCTTTACAGTGAAAAGCCTGACTTTCCAGCTTTATCTGTCCCATAAACTAGTTGCTACATATTCATTTTTGCAGGATTTTTCTTTGGTGTTGGATATGTTTTAGTTTTACATATCAGTAGAAGGAATTTTAGCTAAAATGGTAGCTAATTGGTTTTGGTGCTCTCATTAATGTTAACCTACTTTCAGAAATAGCTGTAAGTCCTCAGGGATCTATCTTAAAGGATATTGGATGTGCAGAAGTATGGGGTTTGTAACTGGTTTGTTGAATTCATAGATGTAATCTTTGGAATGCAGTCATTAGGGACGTTTCCTTTAAAAACAATGTAACTCAAGATTGAATTTTGTATAAAATGTTTGATTTGTGATAAAAACTTGAGTTAATTTTTTTTGTGTACAAATAGAGAACGATGAAAATAGATCGCCACAAAAAGGAAAAAGAAACAAAACTAAAGAAGAACTTGGCAAAGAGGATGATGTAAGGGCTACTCGGACTGCTGGAGGGACGGACAGGAAGACAAGATCAAGCACAAGAACAAGTGCAAGAACAAGAAAATAGTCTTAACAGTCACAGAACCAGTTTTTAAATCAATTCAGTAATTGAAAATTCAGGTTTTTTTAATGTGAATTGATTTGCACTCAGATTTTTTTAAGTTCAGATTTTGTAAAGCAATCACAGAATTATATTATCAAAATGTTTCTTAACTGTTTACAGATACTGCGTAGAGATCTGTTTTAATAGATTTTTATCTATATGTAGTGGTTCCTAAACCATGGGGTGCTTGTGCAAAACAGCAAACGGAAAAACGAATCATTTTGTAACAGTATTTATCCCCCTTTTTCTGTTGATCAGTACAGCAGTCGAGAAGCCATGTTGCTTTACTGCCAGTTATAATTATAAGCTATTTTCTGCTTCAATTTTTGATGTGCTTAAGTCTTATTTTTCATTACAGGTCTGTAAATACTCTTTTAAAAAAAAAAAACTACAGATGTATTAGCAGAACTATTATGCTGAAATTTTGATAGTTTTTTTAAAAAAAACTTCATTGTACTGAAAAGTGCAGATTTGTAAGTCATTAAATTTGTAAACAATTTGGGACTTGTGTGTTTTGTGTTCTTACAAACAGTTAAGGATGTGCAATTACTACTCTCCCTTCACAAGCATATTTGGAAGATTCGCCCTCCCTAGCCACGTGGCACGTTTTTGAAAGCGTACCGACGGCCTTCTGCAGTGCAGTCGCTTCTCCCGTAAACGCGGCCGTGCTGTGCAGCGCTTCCACCTGCGGGTGGGCCTTGTGAAAAGGGAGAAAATTCACTGCAGGCCTCTAACTTCTGTGCGGTTTTAAGTTAAAAGGTTACATTTTTATTGAGTCCATGAGGAGTTAGAGACGTTTCTACGGAAGAACAGTTGGACGCTATGGTCGGACGCTCATGTTAGCTCTTCTTTTTGGGAGTGGTAATGGCCCTTTCTTCAGGTGAGTACTTGTTTGCAAAGTCTGTTCTCTTTCTTCAAAATCCAAAATAGATTAAGTAAGGAATGCATTGGATGCTGGCCGGATGTTCAGAGCTCATGTGATATGATATTTTTTTTTTAAAGTTAGGTAGTTTTCTTCATATGTGGAATGTGCGGTGTCCCTGTACATAGTTTTGGGGGTTTTTTTAAGTGCCTTGGGCATTTTATCCTGTTACAATGTTCCTTATTTTTTCTGTACTTCAGTTCTAGTGTGTAGAGTTTTAGTGTAAGATGCTGTAGATCTGGTCATATTTTCAAATTAGCTCTATTACTTCCTGTGTGTGTTTGCCATAACTAATATGCTTTCCACTGACCAGGACCAGCGGATGATCTGTTCCTCCTGAAACAGTAGCAACCCCCTAAGCCTTTTTTGTGATTAGAGTCAGCACTTGGTGATGGTTATTGCTTTAGGACTGAGGAGTCTTTTTCTCCAGCTTTGATTTCAGCCTTCCAGATGTGAGGAATATCTTTACCCAAAACGTGTAACTGGTCTGTGGTGCAGGATTTGCAGTCTTCTGAACTTTGAGGTAACGTAGCTTCATGTGTCTTGTGACAGCAGCAACTGAAGCAATAGGTCTGGACTCATGTTTTTCAGAATTGTACCTGTTTTATTGGATTTATATTTATATGAAGTCTCAGCAGGCTGAGCAACTTCTCCAGTTTCACCCTACAATAGCGTGGTCTTTTTCTCGTCGCCCTTGGCTCGTGGCTCTAAGTCTGAGTGCAAAACAAGCTCCAAAGCTCCACCTTCATGAACCTATTGCTTTATCAGCCCCTACTGGCTGCTTCCAAGAAGTATCCCCGGTTGTTTTCGGGGAAGCCCACAGTGTAACCATCAACAGATTCACAGAGAAGGCACGAAGTAACGTAGTGTTTGTGCCCCCTTGAAGTTACTGTGTGGGAGGGGATCGCTTTGCCGGAACCCCATTGCCACTACGGTGCATGTTATGAGGTTAAAATAACCCGCAGCGCCCAAGCGTTGCAGACACTGCTGTGGTTTCAATCCCTAGGCTATGCTATCACTTGAACGTTGTGCTGGAAGGAAGGTTTTTATTGTTAGCACTGATGTCCCATCATTCCTCACCCTGTTTTTCCTAGCATCTGACATTCTAATGGAAAAGGGGGCCATGGCTGTCTACTAGCTGAATTTTTTGCAGAAGATGGCAGGATCTCGGCAGAGAACAAAGGGAAGAATTAGCGATGCACAGTAATAAATGACAATGTGCAGAGAAAATGAAATGCTGAACATGATATCAAGGTAAATGGGTTGGAGAGCACCGCTGTGCTATGCCTATGCATGTGCCATTGTATTCATCTATGCGTCTTACATTGCAGAGGATATTTCTATTTGGAGTATTGCAATTTTCCTTGGCATTGAACTCATCAAGAAATCATTTATGCACTCGTGGTATCCCGTTCGCTGTTTGATCCATCTGAATGAAGGTTTCTGCCCAGAACTCGGCGTTTCTGCTCAACTGCTGCTCAGCTTCCACATTTACATTTCACTGAGCCATACGGAGTTTTTCCCTACTGCGTGTCCTGATTGCATAAATACAGCAAGCTCTCCTTATTTTTGGCTTGGCTATGAACTGTGGATATAAAGAGGAAATACAGTAATGCTTTAACCTCTTAAGGCTTTTGATGTAAGTATCCTTCTTCCAGGTGAGCCCCACAGGCTTGCTGGGTTTTGAGCTCACATCTGTAGATTTTCTCCTCTGTTCTCACAAAAGAGAAGCAAGTGCCTGTAAGTGGCTGTACCTCTCTCTATCTTTTCAGTCTTTAGTATCATTCTGTAGTTATTCAAGGCAGTAATTTCTGGCCTAATGATAAATCAAAGTCTTAAGACAGAAGCTAAGACTTTTTCCAGAACACCGGAAGACCGTGATGAAGGCTCTGTGAGAAAATGTTCCATTCTTAATTGCATAACATGCAACTGTTTCTTCAAATTATAGTGGGTCACACAGTTCCCTAAGGTAGGTAGTAAGTGTTCAGTGGTGAAGCATCCTCCATGCCAAGGAGAACGAAGACTCGTGCAGGTACGCTGAGGTATGCTGGCAGAGGAGGAATCCCAGGGGAGTTTCCACCACTGCCATGAAGTAATTCTTGTTGTTTTTCACTTCAGCCCTGCTGCTACAGCGGTAAAACACGGCATGTTGGCAACCCGGGCTGGTGAACTGCTGCGTATAATTCGGAATATCAAGGTATCTATTGCACATTCAGTGTAAAAACTGGCCGTGATTGATTAGAGACAGACGCTTGAGCAGCTCTGGTGCGTTGGGTTAAAGCAAATTGCAGTGCTGGTTGTTGAACTCTTAGCTGCAAATAGGATATAAGGGCGTGTTGGCCTCCGTGCAGAATTGTGCGTAGTGAATAGATTGTCAGCAAGGTGAGCGAACCAGTGTATTGACTGAGTGGCCTTGTAGGATATGCAAAAAAGACATCATGCATATGCCTGCATATAGAATCATAGAATCACTTTGGTTGGAAAAGACCTTTGAGATCATCAAGTCCAACCTTTAACTTAACCCTGCCATCCCACCACTAAACCATGGCCCTAAGCACCTCACCTGTCCTTCTTTTAAATACCTCCAGGGATGGGGACTCCACCACCTCCCTGGGCAGCCCATTCCAGAGCCTGACAGCCCTT